CCGCACCCGGGTGCCACCATTGGAGGGGTGACACCAAAATGACTGACAGTCATTTTGGTGTCACCCCTATGAAAAGTCGGGCATTCGGTCATGGACAGAGAGCCCGACAGTGTCAGGATGGAGGAGGGGACCCGGTGGCATACCTCATCTCTCTGCCCTCCTCTCTCTGCCGGTGTCCATCACCAAGATGGCCACCGGCAGGAGTCAATAAGAAGGCCGCGCATGCGCGATGACGTCAAGGTGGGGTGTCACCCCTTCTACACTCCGGGTGACACCCGGCCTCAGATTGCCCCTGCCCTTTCATTGCATTTCAGTTCTTTGAGTCATGGCGGCTCAGCATCATATGTGGGCATTAGGTGCAGCCTGCCTAGACACTCCCAATCCTTCAGACTGACATTTGATTGGCTACTTGAATAACATCAACAACTTATCAACTGTCAATATAACATATTAGCCACACGGGGAGTGCAATCTATTCATAGACTTGCAGTAGGGGGCGTGGTTAGAGAGCAGTGACATGTTTGCTCTTCCATATTTTTTGTTATTACCCTAAATATACAGATTAGCCACTAGAGGGAGCTCTGCATTGGACTCAGCCTCATTCAACCTCTCTGCTGAACTGTTGAGCTATCAGCCGCACAGGGAGGGCGTTGTTTCTAATGAGTCAGCCGACCCGTAGACTTGCACTGTCAGAAGAAGCAGTAATTCATGATTGTATGGCCCTGAGAAGCAGTCAGTGGAACCTGCTCAAGCAATAGAAAAATATGGCATTTATAGTTACAAATATACATAGAAGGTTTTTTGAAAGATTACGGCACAATGATAATAATTATTTAACTCTTCTCCGCCAGTCGTTAAATAAATCTTAACACTGGAATGAAAGAGAGGCATTTCATGGGCTTCCCAATCATGTGATTGGCTGGCATAGTGATCATGTGATCGGAAGCCCATCTGAATCTGTGACCAGGAGCAGTCAGTGACATTACTCAAATATGTGGCAGCACAGTCAGGGGCGTCCCGAGGCCGGGCGTCACCCGGAGCGGATACTGGGCGACACCCTGCCGTGACGTCATCGTGCATGCGGGTGACCTAACAATGCACGTGCGCGCTGATGTAATCACACATGCACGGGCATCTTATTGATACCTGCCGGCGTCCATCACCAAGAGAGAGGAGGGGCTTGTTCACCCGGCGGGGTAAGGTATGCCACCAAGTCCCCTCCTATCTCCTGAAGCATGGACCGAGAGCCCGACTTTTCAGAGGGGGTGACACCAAAATGACTGTTAGTCATTTTGTGTCACCCCTCCAATAGTGTTACCCGGGTGCAGGCCGCAATGGCAGGAAGGAGTCAACAACACTGATCTCTTTTACATTTATATAAAAAAATCATTGATAAGTCTATACATTCCCTATACAGCAGGGTTAGGTAAACTCCGGCCCTCCGGCTCTGGTGCAACTACAAAACCCAATTGGGCAATGCAAGACTCAGGCATGCCTCCTAGAAGTAGATGCATGATGGGATTGATAGTTTCACCACCGCTGGAGGGCCGGAGTTTGCCTACCCCTACTATATGGAGTCATGCTTCATCACACATATGTTCACGTGCATGAAATTTATAGCAGACTTCAATGGAATTGTCTCAGATGGCTTAAGGATTAAGTACTTACAATCAAATTCAGGAATGGTGAGCTATGAGTAATTCCTCTGCACGGGAAATGGTTGTGTGGTGCTGCAGAAAGTCCGATAACGCAGAAGGATTACTGTATATATGACATATTGGTTGAGGTATAATTACTTTACAGGGAACGTATATCCTTTTCAATGATTTTTAAGCTATGAGTAAAAAAATTTTAAAAAAAGACGTCACCTTGCTACAAATAATCTTTTTTCGGCTGATCATGGTTGTACACAGGAAGGATTATTGAATAAAACACAAAGCTCCCTCTAGTGGCTAATCTGCAAATCTGTATATTTAAGACAATAACAAAAACATGGAATAGCAAACATGTCGCTGCCCTCAATCGCTGTCGCAAATGCCAGCTAAAGAGATACTGGGGTGACATTTTAGAAAACTAACTAGGGATGCACCGATACCAATACTAGTATCGGTGCCGATACTCTAGATAGGCAAAGCCAGCTGTCAATCCCGCAGCTGGGTGGATCTCGACAGTAAAGTCGGGATCCGTCCCGGCTGCGGCGTCTCAGTATACCGCGAAAAAAAATATTGGTAACCGGTATCGGTGCATCCCCACTTCTAACCTTGTGGTAACCGTTTGTTAGACTCTTTTTTGTTCCTCCATGAGTGTGTACAAACTACAAAGCCAGCTCCATAAAGAGATGGTTTGATGAGTTTGGTGTGGAGGAACTCAAGTGGCCTTCACAGAGCCCTGACCTCAACCCTACTGAACACTTTTGGGATGACTTCGAAGGCATGAGCAAGATCTTCTTTCTGTTGGCTCAGTGAGCATACAGTTTCTACAGACACAATCCAAAATCCTGTGAAAACCCTTCTCAGAAGAGTGGAGGTCATTATAGCTGCAAAGGCTCATTAATGATCATGGTTTTGTAATGGGATGGTCCGCTGTACACAAACTTTGGCTTTTTAGTGTATCACATATGGTACCCTTTAAATTTAGATCTATATTGGGGTCATTCTTTTGCAGCTCTGCTTAGGATTCCCCTCATATTGAGTCAGAATACTCAACCTTCTCAGTACTTAGTATCCAGCTCTCTTTTTGGCTCATGAAGGTGAGACATGTCTTTAATTATACCTGGATATCTTAGGGAACAAAGTATAACCTTTTTTTGACTGATGCCCCCAGCATAGATGGTCTCTTCCATTTTGTCCGGCACACATTTTTTGTATTTGTGATTATAAATGACATATGGCGTCCCCACCCCTTTAAGGCAATGAAATAAGGCACACACCACGCAACGCTCCACTTAATTCATTTGTATCAAAGCTGTACGTTGTATCATAATCAATCTCCCAAACACCTACGACATTCCCATGTCCTCTCACGGATATGCAGATATAAAAAAAAGTCGATAAACAGCAATACGTATATTGCTGATATTGGAACCAACAAAAAAAACACACAGCGTCTAGGTTATGTTTTTCTGAACCCGGCTGTGCATTCAAGATAGGAGTGATTTTGGAAGTCAGCAAATCGGAGCGGCAGCAGTCACCTTCCGGCAGATGTAGCGTTCTTTGTGCCGCGCCGCCGTCGCCAGGTTAATGCATGTGGTGAGAACTGAGAACCTGAGTCCTGGGTCTGCTCCATCTACACACTCTAATCAATGCTGGGGCACCTTGAGAGGACAGGGCACTGACAAATGGTAGAGGTGACAACAGTACATAGTGTGTCGGGAGAGGGGGGGGCAGTCTATTTTTCGCACGCACAGCGTACATTGTAAAATACTGAGGCATCGCAGTGTTTCTGATGAATGCAGAGGAGGCTTCGTAAGGATCCCCCACCCCACAACATTTGGGGGGTACAGGGGGGAGAGGAACGTGTGTCCAGGGTCCAAAAGCCCCCATGTTATCTTCATTTAATACCTCTTCTTCTCCTCCTCTTACACTAAAAGGCCCATAAAACTAGTCTCCATGACCCCGCTTACATCACTCGGGGGCACTGGCATCTAAGGGGTCTGCCAGTCTCCGATGATGTGAGAGGGGTGTCAGATCCTCAGGAGGAGGAGGAGGAGGTGGTGGTTTGGGAGACTGGGGTGGTCTCGGCAGCGGCGGTGGCCCCCTCAGAGTCTGTATCCTCCGACACTCCTGGCAGATTCTGAAATGGGCGCACCCTCCCCGACCTGAGGAAGACGTGGGGTCCTCCTGGAGTCGCTGGGCACCTGGGGCTGGTGGAGGGTGAGGTGGCGCTGGAGGGTGCTGGTGGGTCTGGTAGAGTCGCCCGTTGCAGAGGCGTGTCTCCCTGGTGGCACGGGGCGGCCGGCTCAGAGAGAGAAGAGTCCTTCCGTGCAGGTGGCGAGGGGTCCTGCGGCGATGGCGGGAGCGTGAAGTCTTTTTGCAGGACACGGCGCTGCGAAGTTCACTCAGCATCTCCTGGCATACGGAAATCTGCAGCACAGAGAAAAAAATAATTAAGTTAAAGAAGACCTACTCAAATAAACAAATCAATACCGTATTTGCCGGCTTATAAGGCGACTGGGCGTATAAGGCGACCCCCTAATTTTTCAGTTAAAACATAGGTTTTGGGCTATACTCGTATAAGACTACCCCCCTTCCGAGGCAACACCATTTAAAAACATCAACATGGGCCATTTTGTTTAAATACACCCACTAATCTGTCAGCCCGCTGGATGCGCGGTAATACCAGAGTCATACTGTATATTGTGCAGTGATGACTTCAGCTAGAATCCTCTGCAATGCTGCACACTGAACCCTTACAGACTTGTATGTGGCCACCCCAGGAAGGAGCTTCACTATTTGACTTGTTTGTCCCGCTGGATGTGCGGTAATACTGTATGTACGGTAGCTTCGGCTGCAGTATACCGCGCTGAACCAATCATGGAAAGCGATGTACGCGGTATACTGTATGTAGCTTCAGCTACATACAGTATACCCCGCTGAGCAAATCACGGTGAGCGATGTATTCTATTATTGAATACAAAGCCTGCTCGGATTGGCAGAGGTTGTGTACATCGCTCATCGTGATTGGCTCAGCGCAGTATACTGTATATAGCCTAAGCTACCGTACATACAGTATTACCTAACATCCAGCGGGCTGACAGATTTGTATACCCGGCGTATAAGACGACCCCCGATTTTCGGGGGATGTTTTTAAGTATAAAAAGTCGTCTTATACGCCGGCAAATACGGTACACCAAAAAATAACCATATAGTCATTGGAGAAACTCTACAGCACTATGCAAGAAACTTTTCACCGTGGACCATCATTTTTGACTTTCAAGTAGCTGTAATGACGCGCTGCACTGCTTCCCGATACAGGAAGTATCGGGCCAGGCATCAGATTTTTGGGGCGATTACGAGTACTCGCCCAAATACTCGGCATCAGCACCGATATCGATACTAGTATCGGTATTGGCGCATCCCTACCTTCGGCCATTCTGATTGCCACCACTATTGCTTTTTATCTCTATGGGTACGTCATACAATCTATGCAGAACTGAACTTTAGATAAGACAGATGGAAAATAAAAAAAAAAGCAGAATGGGGAAAAATGACAAATAAGAGTGTAGAGAATCGGATAACAGGATGGAGAATAAGAAAGTGGAAAGGAAATAATGGCCGTGTGGGAAGCGCAGAGCAGAACAGCAGAACAAACACAAGCGGCAGGGGACAGGAGAGTGGGCGAAGAATATGCACTGACCCCTCCGGAGAGCCGGCTCAGAACATCTGATGCAGAAAAAAGAGCAGGCTTATGAAACAATAAAATACCCCTTGTGTGTGCTCATAGCAGGAGAGTCAGGGATGGAAATGTTTCATTTATATCTTATGGAGAGAAAAGAAAGGGAATATGGAGGTGCAGTGCTGGGCGCCCGGGGCAGACAGGAGTTGTATACAAATACTGTATATTTAATTACAGTTTGCTATATGAGCTAATCTGGCGTATGCAAGTGTAATAAAGTAGAACTCAGCTTTTCCCAATATTACGGAGAGATTTTCTTTTATGAATTCAAGGACGACCACGGTGGAGCAACAAGATAACCAGTTCTGCCCAACTACCATAGAATAATACAAACAAGTTTCACCCCCCCTGGAGGATTCTCCATAATTATTCTAAATGAACAAATTATAGGGAAATCATCCTGTGAGAAGTTAGAATCTACCTTATGGGTAAGTGGACATGGCTCTGAATTCCTAGAGATACAGGAAACCAACGGGTGAGTCAACTCACCAGTGTCAGCGGAAAATCTAGATATTAACTTTAGGTGGAGTTAGCCTTTATTAAATATATTAGTTTGTAATAGGTACTGTCTATACAGGCCATTGTAGTATCATTGAGTTATTGATGTGTTTATAGTCTAATAAACATGGCGGGGGTATTTATAAACAATTCACAGAACCATTCGCCCTTCGAAATTGCATATATATTTGTTCTGTGCGAATGGAGGCAAAAGTGAATGTTATTAGCATATTTTCTTTACAGGTCGAATGTAATTTCAGGTAAATACCCCATTATGGCCCCTAGATGGAGCAGAGGAGCATAGGAAATACGTATTTATTTCCTATGCTCTTTAGCTCCAGTCTTTTTGTAGTGATGTTATATATTTGAAAATACAATACCTTCCCATTTAAAGCAGTTAAAGGGGTCAGGGTTGGCTTGTTTAAAAAAATAAATAATAATAATTGTTGTTAAGAACTTGAACATGCAAATATTTAAACTCCATAGTCTGGGAACATGTGCACTTTAAAGTGACTTTGTAACAGGAAAGGCACTGGGACTACCATTGTTGGTCCTTTTTCGAGACTGCTACTTGCTTGGACGTGTCTAGAAAGTCCTGGAGCAAAAGACAAAAAGAATAGGCGAAAGGACGGCATGACAGGGTGGGCAGGCAATTAGGCAGTAAGGGGTTAAGGTTAGTAAAGTTGGGGGGGGTGGTGGTCACTTACCATCGATTGGCCGGGCCAAGTCATCCGGGAGGAGCATCTGGGGTGGTCTGAGTGGGCGGAGGGTGGTCCAGTCAGTCTGGAGCTGGCACACGGTTAGTACTATTCACGCCCTCCCTCCCTCGTTTTAATTTTGTTTTTTCCTATTTTATTACTGTTTGTCGTGTTTCCTTTGTCTGTGTTGCCTAGGTCCTGTGAAGGCAGGTGTCGGTACGTAGAAATCCGGTTGGACTCGTCTGTGGTGTGTAGTCCTGGTTGTTCTCTGGCGGGTTCAGCAGAGAGAGGTCGAAGAACTATGTGTAGGTAGGTCTCTGCTGTTACTTCCTAGGTTGTCCCTGAGTCGGTGTGTTGCGGCTAGGGGCCAGTGGTTTTCAGGGGTAAGCAGAGATCTACTGTAGCTGAGTAAGGGGTGCCTTCACAGACCTCAGGCCAAACTACGTATAGGGATACAGTTGTGGTATATTGTCATATGTCATGTTTTAAGCGACAATAATACTTTATGAGATTTTGTAATAAACGGCTGATACAGCCATTTTATATCCAATCCTGTTTGGTCCAATTTTTGGGAAATGAGAAGTTGATAAGGGATCAGATGCTGTAATCAGCTGTTCATGGTTGGGAAAGATAACTATGTCTTACCCTGTCATGTTTCAATGCTTGAGTCACAGACCAAGAAGTCCTTATCTTTATATTGGCTCCACGTCAGAGAATCAGAAAACATTAAAACAAAAACATCATCATTACATGTTGCCTAGGTCCTGTGAAGGCAGGTGTCGGTACGTAGAAATCCGGTTGGACTCGTCTGTGGTGTGTAGTCCTGGTTGTTCTCTGGCGGGTTCAGCAGAGAGAGGTCGAAGAACTATGTGTAGGTAGGTCTCTGCTGTTACTTCCTAGGTTGTCCCTGAGTCGGTGTGTTGCGGCTAGGGGCCAGTGGTTTTCAGGGGTAAGCAGAGATCTACTGTAGCTGAGTAAGGGGTGCCTTCACAGACCTCAGGCCAAACTACGTATAGGGATACAGTTGTGGTATATTGTCATATGTCATGTTTTAAGCGACAATAATACTTTATGAGATTTTGTAATAAACGGCTGATACAGCCATTTTATATCCAATCCTGTTTGGTCCAATTTTTGGGAAATGAGAAGTTGATAAGGGATCAGATGCTGTAATCAGCTGTTCATGGTTGGGAAAGATAACTATGTCTTACCCTGTCATGTTTCAATGCTTGAGTCACAGACCAAGAAGTCCTTATCTTTATATTGGCTCCACGTCAGAGAATCAGAAAACATTAAAACAAAAACATCATCATTACAGCCAGAGAAGCAGCATTTTAAATGAGAGAGGTCAGCGACCAGGGCTTTGCCTAGTGGCAGAACTGTGAAGGTGGAGAAACACTTGGTTGTGATTTGCTCAACTTTTCCCATATTGTCATCAAGCCACCTCACCTCCTCGTTGTCCACCGAACGTCTCGTTGACCAGACGAACTCCATAATGGCCACAAACACGGCAATGATGAGACCACAGATCAAAACCACAAAGATACCTCCAATGTTCTCCATCCCCAGCCCTGTAAATAGAAAAATAATATAGATCAAAGGATGGTCTTCCAATCACTGATCAAAACATAGGAATAGCTGCATTAAAATTCATACTACCAAGACAACTATGACATGATTTTGAGCCATGTGACTGGAAATTCCTTCAACTAGTCATAACATTCCCATGGACACTCATTTCAACCTGATCCCCGCTGACTTGATGTTTGGTTGATAGACTATCGCCCATTGGTCCAATCTTCCCATAATGGTCCTCTGATTGTCTATGTTGGTGCAGTTCTACACGACTGATTGTGAGACACTCACATCACTGCAACACGCCTTTGTCTAATGATCACACAAGACGTTCAGGGCTGGATTTACTCTCTCTGCTGCCCCAAGGCCAGGTTCCTCAATGCGCCCCCCTCCCCGCCACCCCCTCCCCATGGAGAATGGCAGACCTGCAGGCTGCATACAAGTGATCTCGGCGACATCCCCGAGATCACTTATACAAAACAAACATCTGCTTCCCCGCTGTACATTTAGCTCTGCTTGCCCAAAGCAGGGCTAAATGTAGAAAACAACTACCTGCCCGGCGCTAGGAACTGCATGTCCCAGGCATTTGGAGATAGGAATTCCACACCCCTGCTGCCCCTCTAATCCCTGCTGCCCTAAGGCTGGGCCTTGGGTGGCCTTGTGGGAAATCCGGTCCTGAAGACGTTAAAGTGTTTCTAAAACAAAACCTTTTTTATCCACAGTATCTATCTATCTATCTATCTATCTATCTATCTATCTATCTATCTATCTATCTATCTATCTATCCATCCATCTGGGATTTTATCTATCTGGGTCCCTGTAGGGTAAGATGCACCCTCTCTATTTGTCTTGGTGACCATCGTCTCCATAACAGAAAGTGATAGAAAAAATGAAACTTTAAGAACAGTCAATGTTTGTTGGGGGAAATGAACAACTGTTCTGATAACACTTTGGATAGATTCCCTCTTACTTCCTGTTGTGTCTCTGGGACAGGAAATTAGGGTAAATATTCCAGGCGGAACACAGGAAGCAAAAAAACAAACAAAAAATGACAGCTGTCTTAACCATTCCCTACTTCAAAACTTTTGATTTTACATACACTTTAAAGCACCATTCTGGTAAAAAAAATTAAAATGTTAAAATTGTTGTCTTGGATGAAATGAGGAAGAGTTAGATTCAATTTTTATTCCTGTCTGTGTTTCCAGGACAGGAGAGAGGTTTTAACCCTTCCACGTTCTGAACAAATCCAACGAAATTTGGCTGTAGTTAATTTTTTAACGGAAACAAACTGACCGAGACAGAATACTGGGGAATTGCAGTCGTGTGTCTGAAAATCACCCTTCTGGTTTTGATGTGATCAGTGGTGCAGCAGTACCAGCTGATGGCATTCAATGACAAATGGGTATGGAAAACATGCACAGGTAGCAGCTATGATGGGCTAACAGCTTTACTCCCCTGCAGGACAGTCATCCTTCCACTCCTGAAAACTTGTGATATGATATTTATAGGTGGAACTGGAAACCTCATATTGGTGCTCTGTAGCATCCGCTTTTATTGAATGTTCAACTTTATTAGTGTCAATTGTAACCCCCGATGGAACCCCCCCTCTCCCCTACAAGAAGAGTGCAGACATAAGAACAGCAGTTTGGGAAAAAAAAAGTGTGTCACTTAATATAGATATTTATTCCATAGAAGTGTCCTAATATCACCTAAAATGGATAAATCTTTAGAAAGCCTGCTCTCAAAACCATAGGAACCCCATTACCATCATCCACAAAGCAATGTAGACAGGAGCTTACAGCCTAGGAGATGTCCAGGGGGCCCAACTACAACATTTGTGCTCCGGTACAATTGGTCAAAGCTAAGCAGGAACCTGTCAGTTCACAAGGGGAATTCACTTGTAGCCAGTTGGTATCTGATGGGGCATTGCCAGTAGAGACAAAGCAGATGGTGGCTATTGTAATCCTTACTAATGTCACTCTAAAATTGCTACAGAGCTGCTACCTTGCCTAGGGCTGCTTTCTGCGTTAGCCTGCATCTGGTATACCCGGAGAACCTTGGGTGTCACCATACAAGGAGAAGAAACATGCAGCACCAAAAAAACAGGCAGTGGGCCTATCCAGTTTCTGAAAATTCCTTTGTATTATGATATACAGTGTCAGAGGTTTTAAACTTGTTCTGCCTGATGAAGGGGATCCTGTGAGACCCCGAAATGTCGCAATGAGTGCATCACACTATGCTGCTTCTACGTCAATAAACAGACGTATTTGATTCACTATTTGGAGTGCCGGTGTCTCTATATATTCTACAAGAGGTTACAAACTACCCTCCATTCTTGAGGGCTTATGGCCTAAGACTTAAACATTTTCGACTAGGCTGTTATATCTGTCACCTGCTGATTGTACCATTCGATCACACAAGCTAGACACAAGCAATTGCCATTCTACAATTAGCAGTCAAATGTTGCATGTTCCTCTTCTGTAAGTCAGGAAGAAGGAGGTGTTTTAAAGTGTTCTAAGTGCGTCAGAACTTTACATCAAAATAAAAAAGGGATTTTTCATATACTGGATTTGCCTTCTGCCTTGTTTTGGTGCTCCATGTTTTTCCATCTTTTATCATCATGGATAAATGAAAAAAGCAATACCGGCGCCCCCGGTTTGCAGAGAAATCCGGCTGTAAAGTTCACTGGTACGCCATAGAGACAGCTCCCACCGGTCAACAACGACCATCGATCTGGGAAACAAAAGCAACACAGAGCGCCTCCATAGTGTAAAACTTTTATTTGATGAGTACAACACGCAAGTGAAAATGTACTTACACGAAAGCCAATGATCATAAGCGTAAAAGGAAACGATAAAATATAAAATCTATCCTCCCCAGGGCACCTCAATTAATTTTTCGGAAACCCGAATGATCTGCGCAGACAGATAGCCCCAAGCAAAATTAAGAACTATGGAGGCGCTCTGTGTTGCTTTTGTTTCCCAGATCATGGATAAATGACTGGCTCCCCATCTGGCCCATTGTCTATGAGTCAGCTCTTGACAACCTTGAAAAGCATTCTCAAGGAATAAATCAATTGGGCAGGTTAGATAACCTTGCCTGCCTGCTATTGAGCAGATAAGACATTAGAAGTTTCTGATTGTAAAGCATTGGGAGATCTGCCACTGCAATAGGGATAACAGTTCCAGTATCTTCTCATCACCAGTGTGGAAAGGAGATTGGGATGGTGCCTGGATCTCCCCTTCAACCCCAATCATGCAGACCCCTTATGGAAAACAAAAGGGAACAGAGCGCCACCTCCGTGAAACACGCAGAGGTGGCGCTCTGTTCCCTTTTGTTTTCTGTGTTCGTGGTGGAGGCCCCAGAGCCTTGGATGAGCAGCCCCTCAAGTCTGTGTGAAATACTGTGATAAACTGTTGAAAACTTTGAGTGTGCAACAGCAAGTGGATTGTCCAGCTGGCAGCCATTAGCGCCAAGAGTTAAAGAAAACTTTTTGTCAGACCCCTTATGGAGTTCGAGTTCCACAGTTCTACATGGAGCTGTGAGTCACAGGGTGGGTTGATGTGCTTCTTACAATGCCAAAAGTTGGTACAACACCCTAAATATAGCAGCAGAGGTCACTAAAATGTAATAAAGTTACTAGTATTATTATTATTATTATTATTATACAGGATTTATATATTAGTAATATCTGTGAATAGTGCTGGATGAACCAATTAATTTGCCCGGTACGTCCCTTGCAATGAACTACTAAAGCGGTCCTCCCACACTCCTGGGCCCCAAGCAGACTGCCAGAGATATAATGACATCATTTACCCAACAAGGAAGCTATATATTCCTCATTGGATAAAATATGCAGTTGTGTAATTACATAATTTAAATGGGTAAATTGTGTCATTTAAAACATCGGGTTAATTGAGTTATAATAATGGGGGGTGGAAAATCTCGTACCCTAATTCCTCGCACCACTGCCAATCATTTAAATAAGGGAATTGGGGAAGCATCAGGCTGTGCGCTATGTGGATTTTTTTAAACGTTTGTAAAATACAATGGAATCTACCTAATTTTACCTAGTACCTAATTTTGACTGTGCATGAGATGGCAGTAAATATTCTGACAGAAGGACAGAGCAGAGCAAACAGAAAGATGACTCTTCAGTGTGCTGTTGCTGAGCACGCACTGTCCAGTTACAGTCTGGGGGTGGGGAGGTGAATAGGCCGCGTTGCCTAACTGCAGTAGGGAAAAGTCAAGTCACCAGCTTTACTCTGTATTTGGTAGACATGTAATGGACAGAAATAGAAATCCTATTACAGTGACTTTGCCATCAGGAATATTTGACTTGGATCATTGCTTTGCTGAAGATCTATGGTCACCGGAGACTCTTTTACATCCAATCTTCCATCCCCATCCTCATTGTAAGCAGTAGTTTCTCCTGCTGGCCACTACTTCATTACTACCATATGTCCTGTAGTAATATAGAGGTCAGCAGATGGAACCACGAGCAGTGGGGAAAAGACATCCGTCACATCTAAAGGTGTCAGATGTGTAGATTCTCCTGTAGGCGTAAGATCTTCAGAAAATCCATGATATGAGTCACTGTGTCCACTGGAGTCACTATGAAGTATATCTAAAGCCAAAACAGTAGGTAGTAGTAGTAGTTGTAGTAGAGTAGGGAAGGTTTTCGTTCCCTGTATCCCATCGGGGAGATCACCCCACTTTCTATCCCATAGAGACAACAGACAACAAGAAGTCTCTCCAAAGTGAATGAAATCCAGTCTTAATCTGCTTCTATTGCAAACAGGTATCCCACTGGAAGGTTTCCCCTCTATTCCTTGTCTGTGAAGGTTCTCATTCAGTTTTATCCTCTATTCCTTGATTTTTTAGCTGTCACTTCCAGTCCCCGTGACAATGGTTATGAAGACAAAAAGAGAGGGTGAATTGCTACAACGGAGACCCAGACAGCAGTAAAACCTGACACATCTAATCCTTCTCCACCCATTCCAAAACCCCCAGAAATGTTAGATTTAGGTAAAATAATATATTTATCTGTTTGCCTGGAGTTCATCTTCAATGTCTCATCTTTGACTATTAGTTTAAACTCGATGAAGCCATCAAGCAGTATCCAAAATGTCATCAAACAGGCAAGCTCCTTCACACTTACACCAGGGCTCAGTATAAAATCATTACACCTGTGTCAGAAAGGTACAGGGAAGAAGATGCAGGACAGAGATGACATGAGGAGACCATAGTAGGTCAAAGGAAGCAAGAAACTAACAGAGTTATTTATAATAGGGTGAAGAGTTTGGAGAAAGCAGGAGAAGGGAACATTCTGGGACAACATAGCTGAACTGGAAAGTGAGCTGAATTGGAGACTTTTTCCAAATCAGCTATTTTGGCCCCTAGATTGTTCACTTCTCCGACCTTCTCCAAACTCTTCACCCTTTTGTGAATAAACCTGTAAAACTCAGTTGAAATGTTGACAAGCCATGTTTAGGTGGTGCAGTAACAGACCGATGCTATGTGTTACCAGAATGAGACGAGGTGACAGATGATCCGTTAGAGGCAATTTCTCTATTCCAGTCTGAGATGGCGAAGAGGAGAATGAGCAATGAGATTGGAACAACATGGAAAGATAAATAGAATAGACAGGATTGGTACTCTGGTTCCGAAAGGATAGGAGTGTGAGGCTACAAAAGCCCTTAAGACCTCTGACCTTTGGCTCGATGGTCCTCCTCCTTGGGACACTTGCTGCCTTCCCACCACTTGCGTTTCAGTATCTCTAAGCGATTGTTCTCTTGAAGCTGAAGGATCGCAAGACTGATCTCATCTCTGTATGGTGATTCTAAGGGAACAAGCAAAGAGACAAAAATGTGATCAGATTTGGGAAATACATTTCTATCTCTATCTCTCGTTCCAAGAGCTTCTTTGGGCATACCAGTACACTAACACCTATTGTTCCCTTCAACCCAAACTTTCTGAACTGCCTTATTTATATAAAAGATGAAGATGGGCCAAGGGTCAGGCTCCCCCTACAAATGCTGACACCCATACCAGCCCCCCATTTATGTAATTGGCTCAGAGTTTCAGACCCTCCTAACCCGCCAAGCTGCCGTGAAATAAAAAGAACCTTGCAACCATCAGAAATCACAAAATTCATGGAGGGAGTGTGGGACAACCTGCTTCCTCCGTCGATTTTTCAGAAAGAATGCCCCTCAGCCCTTGCAGTTCCAACCCATGCATGCCAATCCTCCTGGACACCTGACCTCCAATCAGGTAAGATTAGCTGATCTCCTTTTTATTTTAACCTCTTCTCCAGAGACTATTCCTCCGCCAAATCATGCAGCCCCTCCGCTCAGTCTCTCTGGGTCTGTAGGCATGGTCCACCATAGTTACTTTAGGAAACCCGCCCTGAGAAATGTCTTGCATCCATTGCTAGAGTGCATGAATGTAGCCAGGAAGTGGTTATAAACAGATTGCAGCAGATCGCCAGCACTGAGGTGCAACAAAGGTTTGCAAAAAGCTAAAAAAGGTGTTTTATTTTAAAAAATGACGATTGTCTATAATGCACAGTATCACAGTATGAATCCCTGATTAGTGGCCATTGTGAAAAGTAGGTGATCCTAAAGGACATGACTTATGGTATGAAAGCTTTGACATCTTCCAACATCAGCTTCCTTTGTGGCTCTTGGCATTGGGTCACATAACATCTCAGCACCACAAAGGAATTTGGTTCCTTCCCTCTGCCAAATACTATGATCATAAGTGTGAATGGCACTATATAATGTCCTGCAGACCAAAATGGCATGGTAGTTCCACTCCGGGCCACCAGCCCAACAAATATTAGTACTAGCAGTTGGGCAAGTGCCTCCCTGACCATCAACTGGGTCCTCCTCTGACTTTACGATTATGGGGGCTTCTGTCAGTCCTCTATATATTATTCTATACACCTCCATGACAGGCATGCGGGGCACTTATTGGCACATCATTGTTGGTCTTTGTGCTGTTTTACTTATTTTTTAAATTTTACACTAAAATCTGTGAGGAACCATTAGCATTATTGAAATTTCATAGAACATGGCACAGCATATATGCCCAATCTAAAAGCTAAATGAATTGTATGAGCTCAGAGAAACCATGACTGATTTATATAGTGAGCTGGTGCTTCCATTGCAAAAACCCAGTCTAATTCAAATGCTTAAAAATTACAGAAGCTTTGGTGCTGGCCTCTCATATAGATGGGTCATGCCCGGCGATTCACCCTGTAATACTGTTCCCTTTCTATTGTTTTCTCTGTTTTTTTATTCAGGGCGGGGCCGAGAACGATTGACCAGACCCAACGTGGCAGTTAGTTTTCATGCTTATATTATATGCTTCACTGTCTGATACTTATATGACGTGTGAGACCGCATGGCCTCTGCATTCTTTCTCATTGTACCCCTCCCTTTTGTTTATACATTTTGAAAAAATAAAAACAAATAACAGAAGCTAAATTGTGGGTGGGCTAGGGGACAACAATAGTTCCTAAAGGGTCCTCTTTGGTTTTGTGTAGCTAGAGAAAGGTCACAGCCAATCACAGACCAGCTATCAATCAAGTGTTGCATGTCCACATATGGAGATGGTCTGATATGCTTCTACAAATGGGCAGAGCACATAAAATGCAAATAAAACTACACACTCCTTGAGAAAGAAGAACCAGATCTAGAATAATTCTTATTCTATTGTGGGTAGAGGGGAACAAGGTGTACAGCAGGAACATTTTACTTCTGACATCTCAGAAAGATACAGAAATCCAGGGATAAATCCACGCAATGGTCCCCACCCAGTCTGGACCTGTAAATGTTAAATATCCTACCATCGAAAAACTTCAGGCCAGAATAAATAGAGGATTACTTGAAAGAGCTGCTAAAATGGGAAAACCTGCTTAGTGATCAACCAAAGCTCATATATGCAGTCACATTTATAGGCAATAGCGATAGAGTCGTATTATATGTACCAGTGGTGGGTTAATCAGGTGTTTAGATGGAGCGCAAAGGTCAGGCATGAGTGAAGATGCAGTGATGAAATTCTTGGAGAAATCATTACAAGCTTAGAAAACACAGATTTCAAAGCAGAAGATATTATTCGGAAGCACTCTCAAGGTAAAATAAATACGGGGTTTAATTCTTCACTTAAAGCAACCATCCATTAAAGTAGGCCTGAACTCAAAAAGTGAAGATTTCCGATCTTATAGGAAACATCTAGAAATGGTATTTGTGCTGAGCGGTTCCCCTAAATAATTTACCTTTTGCCTTGAATTCCTTCTGAAAATTGTAGCAGTGTGCTTCCTGTGTCTAGGAACTCATATTCTATATCCTCATGGCTACAGTATATACTGTATCCACACCGAGATTATCTAAGGCAGCATTCTCAACCTGTTTTAGTTATGGCACCCTTGAAAAGTATGCAAAATCTTAAGGCACCTCAGACTAAAATGTCCTAGATTTTAAGGGGGACTCCACGCAAAAACACACAAACAAGTGGGGTTTCCCCTTCACAATGAATTGCTTGCTTCAAATCAAGATTCCCCCCTTCACATCAGAGTCATCCTTTGCTTCAGTAGCCCCCCTTCCACATCAGAAGCCCCTCTTTTTTTATCAGAGTCCCCCCTTCACATCAGAGTTGTCCCTTGACTCAGGAGCCTCCTTCACCTCAATCTTCATTCCCCTTTACATCATAGTCCAACTAACACAACATTTTCAGGCACCCCTGAGGAATCTAGGAGACACACCAGAGTGCCACGGCACCCTGGTTGAGAAAGGTTGATCTTAGACACTGCTGCCTCTGGCTTAGTGCCAGAACAGATGCTCATTTTTATCAAGCCTTAATTTAGGTGCTCTAGCATATTTGATTGCTCAAGCCCTGAAGAATGTGGAGGACTATGAGCTGAGAGTGTTGAATCATTCAAAAATCAATTAGATTCCTTCCTCAGAGACCGTAACATAGAGGGGTACAGGTACTCTTAAAGCCTTAGACCCCAAGGGACTCATATACACACATGCACGTTTTACACACACAATTACACATACAAGTTGAACTTGATGGACCTGTGTCTTTCTTCAGCTTCAAATACTATGTCACTTTCCTCCCAAATGCGTTGGCTATATCTGATGTTCACAACCAATAGACATTTCAAAAAAGACTTTAGTCTACGTCTACTTTTTAGTTTATTACTATGTCCTCGGAACGCATCCAAGAGTTGATTGTCTGTTGAGTGACTCGTTTATCATGATTGGAGAGGAAGCACATACACTAGACTTTAACTGCAGATCTGCATCCTAGAAGGAAAATGCATTCCACTTTATATCCATTAGAGCAGGGGTGGGCAACTCCAGCTAAACTTTAACTACAAATTTCAACATGCCTCTGCCCCTGGGAGTCATGCCTGTGACTATCAGTCTTGCAATGCCTCATGAGACTTCAAATTCTACAACAGCTGGATGGCTCAGCCATGCATTAGAACCATTTTCCACTCTTATAGGTACAGCTGTAACGCTGTATACAAATTAACTGGTTCAAGGCTATAGAAGATTACCCATTTAGGATCTCAGCTGCAGAGCTGTACTTCCCATGTTACAGGTAGTGTATATAAACTGTCCTAAATTGTATACATCAAGCACAATTGATTGCAGACAGGTACTCTTAACAAGTAAAGTTACCTCCATAACACACATGAGCAGGCCCTGGATAATGAGAGACAGGCCACGATAATCTTACGACAACACTATGCAGTCTAGTATGTGGTTCTATATTGCTTCATACAGAATCACATCACAGTCTTTATAAGTATCCAATGCTTCATGCAGAATCACAGCACAGTCTTTATAAGTATCCAATGCTTCATGCAGAATCACAGCACAGTCTTTATAAGTATCCAATGCTTCATGCAGAATCACAGCACAGTCTTTATAAGTATCCAATGCTTTGTACAGGATCACAACTCAGTGTAACATGTGCTACTATATTGCTTCATACAGTTTCACAGCACAGTCTTTATATACTGTATATCCAATTGTTCATACAGGTATAAGAATTAGTAGTAGGTTTAGTTGATCGATACTAGGCTTCACATGTGCAAGCGTATGTAGCCCATCTAAGAACTGCTGTGACTGAGGCCCGGTGCACACCTAGGCGACACCTCACCACGCGGCAATCGTGCACAATTCCGCATAGATTGCTGCGCGTTCACAAGTCACATAGGTGTGCACTGATCGCGCATTATTTTCTAATGGCACCCCAGTCGTGCCGGGCAGAATCACATGCAGAATCACAGCACAGTCTTTATAAGTATCCAATGCTTTGTACAGGATCACAACTCAGTGTAACATGTGCTACTATATTGCTTCATACAGTTTCACAGCACAGTCTTTATATACTGTATATCCAATTGTTCATACAGGTATAAGAATTAGTAGTAGGTTTAGTTGATCGATACTAGGCTTCACATGTGCAAGCGTATGTAGCCCATCTAAGAACTGCTGTGACTGAGGCCCGGTGCACACCTAGGCGACACCTCACCACGCGGCAATCGTGCACAATTCCGCATAGATTGCTGCGCGTTCACAAGTCACATAGGTGTGCACTGATCGCGCATTATTTTCTAATGGCACCCCAGTCGTGCCGGGCAGAATCGTGGCGGGAAACTGCGTGGTCCTGAACAGGCTAAAACAGCCGTGTGTCGTGTATCGGGAAAAGAGGTACTTGTACCTTTTTTCTGCGATTGCCGTGCGGATGTCACCCCATTGAAATCAGTGGGGCCGCACGGCAATCGCTGCCTGCATCGTGCAGGACCGCGCGATCCCTGGA